TACTCAAAACATTACTTTGTAGCATGTCGATCATAACAATAACAGATTACGGCTTTGATTGTATTCATGGGAAAAAACGAGCATTTGCAACTATAACATTGCACTGTCAGCATTGTATTGCGTCGACTAGAATTCTTCATCAATATAATGAATTTACTAATGNTCTTTGCTGCCGTCCGGAACAAATCTTCAAATTAGAGTGAATACGAAAAGATCTCATACCGCTGTCTGTTGGAGAACTAAGGGATATTGAGGAACACCACTGAGGAATATTCTTGAATAATTATCACAAATTCCTTTTTACAAATATGCACAGGGCTAGTACAATGGCCCCGAGGGAACCTCCATAGAGATGGGCGCGCAGAGAGTAGAAGTGATTTCGCTTCATCCCATTGATTATCGCTTCCTCGTAGGGACGGACCACCTGAAGAATAACCGGCTGAATAATGCAAATTGCTCAGGCTTCATTACGGTGACACTATTCTCAGAATTTTGCCATATTGTGCGATTAGTAAGAAACGACAAAACTTTAGCAATGTTGGTGCCCCGCAGTACTGAACCAGGAACTGACGATCCTGCTTCAAAAATTGCTTTGAAGTTCTCGAGATGGGGAGAGCTAAAGCCGTCCTCTTATCAACAGTAACATGCATGTGCAGGAAATTTTTGCTGTACAAAAACGCTTGAATTCAGAGTCACATCACGTAATATATGAACTCATCTGAAGGAGAAAAGAGCCGAATAAGTGATTAATTGAAAATGAATTTAAGAATAAATGTTCGCTGATGGAAGAGGGTGTCTCATGTCGGATGTTCTCGGCAATTGCCGCAGCACCTTATGAAAGTCTAACGTTTGCGTTTGTTGGTATCGCAATCGAGCGTTGCATCGCCACTATCGCTTACAAACGCTACGAAAAATGGAGGATACCATTGATTGCTTTCGTTCTTGCACCTGTTACGGTAAACAGCATTCTTACTTCAATTTAATTTTTAGTTGGCAGTTTTCAGGTTGCTTCTCTTCAAAATCCTATTGGTTGCATCCGCTCATTTCATGTCCCGTTCTTGCCATCGAAACATATGAAATGACCCCCATTCAAAAGATCTATAAGAATTATAAAATGATTCATGAGAAAAAATCGTAGCCTGTTGCTCTTGCTGCCACTAGATCCGCTTTTGGACATACATTTGCAAATGAAATCTCAAAGTTCAAAGTTATCAGTAATCGATCAATATCGATCAGCACATATTAGTTCGGATCATGCAGAATTTATTTTCATGAGATCAGACAAACTTGTTTCAATAAATTCTGATTTTGAGTGTCAAGCTTCATTCCACAAATGATTTGATCATTCAATTGATCGCTTGGCAAACCGAGAACAATCGATGCGTTGACCGAACGAAAGAAAATCACTGAAAATTTTCAAAGTTTCACCAAATTTTCGTTCCGTTATCAATTTAATGTATATCTTTGAAGTGGTTAAATGTTGCGTTGATCATTCGTCGATCGATAATCGGATCAGATGGAAAGGCTTACTATCAACCGTACTGTTCAACACTAACGTCTGGTTATGTGAATTTTGCGAAGTTGTTCAGCTACAGTATACCAGTGATTGTAGCATCGTTCGTTCTGTTCGTTTTGGTTTACGTCGTTTGCAAACGTAAATTAAAGTAAGCTGGTGGCTTTTTTGTTCAGAATTTACCGAAAATTTGAATTTAGTTCCGTTGATCGAATTTGATGAGATTATGCATAAGATTTTTGAACCACTTTGATCATTGTCAACTTTTCGGCATAGTGCTCACTTCCAATAAAGTCACATCAATTCGGCTGGCTTTAAGACGTCAACTGTTCGTAATTCTCGATGCAGAATATGCTAACATTTCCAAATACCATAAAAGAGTTTCATGAAGCTCAATTCATCTATCGTTCAAACTTTAACTGATAATTATTTCCTAGTGAGAGTCCGGGATTGATTTGAAAGTCAATGAAACGAGGAGTCACTCCCGACGCATTTCAGCGGCAAATTGTTCTCAAGCGAAATTTTAGAACTGAAAGAAGTTTGAGAAATTGATTTGACAAAATTTTCGGGATTTGTCTGAATTTATGAGTTCAGATTATTTGTTGCGTCGAAAATCGATGATTTATCGTCACGATATCAATTGGTTGAGAATGTCAAATCGACAAAACTATTGGCTATCTTATCGTCTGTTTATACCGTGCTCGTCTTACTAACACTGGGATCTGTGATCGCCATTGCTTACTTGAATATTTCGGATTTGCTTATATTTGCGGTCTTGAAGGTCTGTTTTGTTTCGAGAGATCGATATTAGTTCCAATCGAAAATTGATACAACGCAAATAATTCAGCCTAAATAGTAAACGATAAGCACGTATAATTCAATTCAAATAGGCTCAAGCATTTAGGGCTGGATGAAATACGATACACTCAGTAACTGTCCATTCTAAATCAATGAGAACCCCTCTACCTCTAAGTCACATTCGATAAACTCAAAATGATGATGGATTGATCGATGAAGACTAAATTTTTGCTCAGTAACGCTGTTGTAAAAGTAAAAGGCTGAGTGGCCCTCACATTTTGGAAATCTATAAGATTCATGTTTGTTTACCAAAAAAAGTGAATCTCTTTTCAAACGAATGCTCGATTTCAGGAGATTTCAAGTTTTTCAATGCCATTGTATATCAACATTTATTCAGTGATAATTTTTACCCAATGCAATTACATTCGACAACGTGCTACGCGATTGTTCACTCGTCGTAATATAGGCCAACTACGAAACGGTACTACAGTAGCACCAGCGGTCAGTGTTGCACAGCATATGTATATTCTTGAACGCATGTGGTCTTCACCTTACAAATAATGCAACAACATTCAATGCCAAATTCTATGAAAGCTTCTGGTTTACTTACGGTCTACTTTGACCATTCACTGTATCGTGTGATATTGTTGTGTCATGAATAATGTGTTATATGATATCATTTCCTAAAAATATGTCCATATTTTTATCGTATGGCATTTCCATAGCCGCGTCCTATGTAAAAGAACCGAATGAGAAAA